TGTGCTGATTTTGGAGCAGAGGCTTTATTGGTCATCCCATTTCAGTTTGTGGTGATTCCCCAGCAACTCATTCACAAACTGGATCTGATGGGGATCAGCACCTCACTGTGTAACTGGCTGCTGGATTTCCTGACAGGAAGAAAGCAGACAGTACGGGTTGGCAGCAACACCTCCAGCACAAGAACACTGAATACAGCGGCTCCCCAAGGATGTGTGTTGAGCCCCCTTCTCTTCACTCTGCTGATGCACGACTGCACACCATCACACAGCTTCAGCCTTTTCATAAAGTTTGCAGACAACTGTGGGAGGTCACATCAGCAACAACGATGAGACCTACTACAGGAGTGAAGTTAAACATCTGGCCGAGTGGTGCAGCAACAACACCTTGTACCTGAATGTGGAGAAGACTAAGAAGATCATCATAGACTTTAGGAGACCCTGCATGCCCCACTAACCATCAATGGTGCTGCTGTGGAGAGGGTAAGCAGCACCAAGTTCCTGGGTGTGCAGATCTCAGAAGATCTCTCCTGGTCAAGACAAAAAAACCAAAACACTGCATCACTGGTCAGCAAAGCCCAACAGGGACTCTACTTTCCCTGCAAACTGAGGAGAGCAAGAGCCTCAACCCCCATTATGAGCACCTTTTACAGAGGCACCATTGAAAGTATCCTCACCAGCTGCATCACTGTGTGGTATGGCTCCTGCAATGGGTCCTGCCGAAAAAAGTTACAACAGTAGTGAGAGCAACGGAGAGGATCGTGGGTACTTCTCTTCCCTCCCTCCAGGACATCTACTGCACCCGCCTCTGCATTACAGGGGACTCCACTCATCCGTCCAACAGCTTCTTCAGTTTGCTGCCATCAGGAAGGAGACTGAAGAGCCTCCAGGCTAGAACCACCTAGCAGACTGAGAGACAGCTTTGTCCATCAGGCTGTCAGGATGCTGAATTAACTCCATGCTCTCACACACACGAATTTCAGACCTGCACTCATCTCTTCCCTCTGAATCCTCGACCCCCCCAAAAATACAAATTCCGACCCACCACCATTCAACTGGACTTTCCCATTGTTCTGAGTATTGGTCAATCCAATGGGTGCTGTCAAACAAATCCTTTTTATGCTGCCGATGAAAAATAACCAGATGTATGCAATCATGATCAACTAATCAACTAATGAGTAGTTAATCGGTTTTGGCCTTGTGAAGCTAAAAGACATCATAGAGTCTTCAGCATCATTATTAAAAGATTTTGGCGAGTTCAAACATGTGTATCCAATTCTTGCTTCTTAAAGTCATTAAACATGTAAGCTGTAAAATCATTAATTTAAGACCACATCTCTGTAATTCTTTCTTCACATTTAAATGTTAAAAAACACAACTTTAAAAAGTTAACTGTTAACAGTTTGGATTTTTTTCACTTCTTTGCAGTTTTTACCGTGGAAATTGTGTAGAAATTAAAAATAATCTCTGTTTGTTTGGGGTTTTTTTTACATAAAGTACAAAGAGACAGATGCGGAACACGTTAGTTTGGTCTTCCTTCGGTTAAAAGACCCTATTCGTATGAGTAATGATGAGTCATGATGAGTCATGATGTGTAGAAACAAGATTTGTTGAAGACCTGGAGAAAATAGGTCACATAGCAGAAAGAGGTAGCTTTGCTTTCTATCTACACATTGTAGTGTAGTATGTTGTATTAAAAAAAAACACTACACTGATACAGTTGAGCTAAGCTATATTTTTCTCATACAAGCAGCCAAAGCACATTAAAGCATCTTATTCACTGCAGAAACAACACTAGTGCTAGTGCCTGCTGCAATTTCAGCAAGTCTTTCATCACATAGGTCTTCCACGTGTTACAGTATATTCCTCTGCAATCCCATTGCTTGCCTTGTAATTATACAAGTTTTTATTACAAGGTAGGCCTATTAAATGTTATTGAAGAGAATTTCTCTTGCACATAATACACAACCATAATGTTCGAGGGAAAATGAAAAATACAGGCAAAGACTTCAAGAATAGCAGGTAATTGAAAAGCAATGTGCTAAAATACTCCAGATGGTTTTTAGTCCACCCAGCGAACAAGCTGTGGAAACCCAGACCCAACTGTAAACGTGCAGAATTGCAGGGATCACATTACCGTAAATATTCTAAAAGAGTTGATTGTAATTGGATTCCTTGGGGAAGAAAATGTCTTCATTTCCTTTTCCTTCATATATATATATATATATATATATATATAA